TTTGCCATGCCAGTCGTTGTTGATAGTATTTACATACTGTTTTGGTTTCTGGAAGTCCATCGATCAAACGACCAGTGTTAACCAATTTGAATTGGTCCCAACATTTTGTCTGCTTCTTCCCTTTTCTCTTCCCTCTTGCATCGGCTCGTGCTCGGGCTCGTTTTTTTACGATCTCGAACGGCTCGTGGGCGTGAACAGTACGAGCCGAGCGGGCGAGCCGATGAGCCGCTTGGCTCATTTGACACCACTAAAACAATCAATATTAACCACATATTTCATGGGTTCCGCAACTTTTCAAACACACATTTCAAAAATTTCTATCACAATCTACTAAAAATTTAATTTTAATCCTCACCAAACACCTACTTAATATATACCTAGGGACGTGCAACTAGAGGATCTTGTACTACCCTGATCAACACATTAGTCTAAATTACAATCTCTTAAGCCCAGTTTGATGGAAATTATTTGGGAGAAAATATGTTTTGAATAGTGAATTTTTGAAAAAATGGGTGATTAAAAAGTAGGAAAAAATTTGAATTTGCGTACAGATTATTTTATTGCATGAATGTGGTTGAAAATAATTATGTAAAAAAAAAAAATCAAAATAATGGTTACCGAACAGGTGCTCGAGTTCTAGGATCTAATTTTTGATTTCTTGGTGTTGACTCACTTGTTTAGTCAATCAAAGAAACCTTGAGTTGAAACAAGAAGATTCAAGAACAAGAATCGAAAAATGTATTGATTAGCAAACAATTAGAATCATAATAGAGTTATGATACACAAACAAGCTCAATGACATGTTACAAGATAGGAGGACACGTGTCGACACATGATTTGACAGTTCGAAAAAAAATGCCTATTTGTTTCCTCACTCTGTCAATAACCCTGTTCAAGGAGCATTAGCGATCAAAATAATCAAGCATAGAGGGTAATTCAGCTAAACTTCCAATGTGATTAATCAAAAATATTATAACGCATTCTATTATACAGCCCGATGGTGACATTCTAGTTTTTAAATAAATTTCTCTATTTTATTCATCAATTTCACAAAATTTACACCATGTACATTATCTACATCAAATTTGGTGATTTTACACTAAATTTTACACCAAATTTTATTTTGAATTATTTTATACTAAATTTTATTGTTCAAATTATATTATTACAAAAATCGTTAAATTAGAAATTATATTTAATGTAGTAAAATATTGCGTTTATTAACAAATTGAAAAAGTCATTAAACATAATACCGCAAATTATAAAAATTACATTAAACACACAAGGAAAATTATTTTAGAATTTAAAATGTTAAATATAAATGACCACCATATTAAAATAATTAGGAATCAATTAAAATCTATTAATATTAAATATTAAATCTATTTATTAATTAAATTGTTTATAAACTCTTTCCAGACGTACGATTTTCTACGTATATTTTCCAACATACACGTGTGTATGCGATATGAATGTATTAAGCAGGATAACATGGCCATCGCCCATCATTTGCAAGATATCAAATCAAGCAATTATATTCAATACTAAAAACACGAAACCGAGCTTTCAATCACCATATTTTATTTGAATGACCAAAGTGAGCACTCAGCATAAAAGGAGGCCACAAACCTAAAAAGTCAAATATTATAGCGATATTTGTAGATATACTTGGGTACCATCCTACGTGGCATCACCACCTCATTGGATGGCCGCACCACGTAGGACGGTGCGACCATCCTACCGAAGTATTTCTCCAGTATTTGGTAGTGAAAAGATCTTGGATGGGGCATGACCCTTGTGGCCACAGCCCATATATCGTGTCTCCTCTAATGCCTTGTGAAAGTGAAAGAACAAACTTGCTACCACCCATGTCCTAATCTTGAAATTTTGAGAGATATAGAGAGTGATAGAGTGAGAAAAAGAAACCGGTCAATCAGATAATATATTATAGACTATGCTTTGTTAGGTTATGTATATGATTTACATTTCCTTTCCTTGGAAAACACTGTTGGGTTTCTTTCTGCTGATCATCCTCAACCTCAACTCCCGGTTATGGTGAGCTTTTTCTTATACTTCCTCCAGCGCCAGCGGCTACCGGATTAATCTAATATATCGTGTTATTTGAACAGGGGAACGACACCAGGACGGGATACGACGCTATAAACCCATGGAAAATCAAAGGGAAAGGAGGATTCAAAGCTACCTCTTTCATATATGGTAAGGCTGGCGAAGTACTTCAACATATTCAAATGTTCTTTCTTTTTAAAGGTCTGTCGAGCTTTTCCTTGAAATATGGTGTACTCTAGCCCTTCTTTCTCAGGAAAAGCACAAACTTGTTACATTCTTGAATCAATTACAAGCTTAATGCTGTTTGGTGTGCTAATTCTGCATTATCATTTTGTTGTGTAGCCTTGGTGGCATTAGAGAACATGGGTTTTGTTGCCAATGTGGTGAGCATGGTGATGTACTTCTTTCTGAAGATGCATTTTGATCTATCTGGTTCAGCAAACACTCTCACGAATTTAATGGGATCAACTTATTTGCTCTCTGTTGTTGGTGGCTTCATTTCGGACACTTACCTTAATAGATTCAACACATGTATAACTTTTGGTACCCTTGAAGTACTGGTAAGCTAAACTCGACAGTACCTCATTCTAAAGTATTATCAGTTTTTTCCTACAATATTCACTTAAGAAATGGTTAGTACTCCGGTCGACGGTGTCGTCGATCTTTTAGTGAAATTTCATTTCATTCATTTTGTTTTAAGTTCGCAATCAAAGTTGAACTGTGTTACTATTCTAGCTTTCCTTAAAAATATCTCATTTTCTAGCTTTTTTTACTGTATACCAAATATGTCCTCGATATTTATGAATTACGAGTATATATGAATTATTGTTGGTCATAGAATGTTTTTCTACATGATGTGACATAACAGCTAATATCCTTATGTTTTTTTCCTCCCTTAGGCCCTAGTGATGATGACAATTCAAGCTCATAATGGAAGTTTGCAACCAGAGAGTTGTGGCAAATCAAGTTGTGTAAAAGGTGGTATAGCAGTCATGTTCTATGCTTCACTTTGTTTGTTAGCGTTAGGGACTGGTGGGGTCAAGGGTTCTCTTCCTCCACTTGGTGCTGACCAATTTGATTCAAAAGATCCAAAAGAATCCAAGGCTCTTGCTAGCTATTTCAATTGGCTCCTGCTCAGCTCGACAATTGGGTCATCTATTGGTGTCACTGTCATAGTATGGGTTAGCACCTCGAACAACAATAATGGTTGGTGGAAAGGTTTTCTCATAATTTCCATCTCGACGTTCATCGGCTATGTTTTTCTTGTCCTCGGAAAACCTTTTTACCGCCTCGAGGCCCCCGGAGACAGCCCTATTACAAGAATTGCACAGGTTTATGTCTCTCTCTCGTGTGTCCACTGTTTGTTTGTGAACAATTTAGACCCTTCGCAACTACTTTTGTCTCTTATTTTTAATTGGCATGTCATGGAACGTTCTCAGCATATAATTAAATAATTAATTATGTTCGTCCCCACTAAAATGGTCCTAAACTTATAGATAAGGAATTTCAATAATTTATAGATAGTGACTAGTGTAGTAGGTAAAATCAGCGTAATTGCGATAATATGTTACATACTTCATTAATTTTCTAGGTCTCTATCACCCCCAGAGAAAAGGATAAAAACTTTTAACTGCTGACGTAGTAAGAAAACCTTAGTCATAGATATCTGAAATGGTCATAAATTCAGATGATCATAACTAAGATTCTCTTACCACTTCACTGGTGAAATTTTTTTATCTTGTCGACTTAGGGCACGAAATCAATTCTAGCCTCTATCAATCAATCTACAAAACGCATATACTGGTATACTTATTTTTTTTCGTGCATTTTGCATGTATGTAACGTTTTCAATATAACACGTGCCACGTTTTAAGAATACTTAATTTATATTCATAGGTTGTAGTATTGGCAATAAAAAATCGAGGGTTGTCACTTCCAGAGAGCCCTGATGAGCTGTATGAGATTAATGAGAAAGAATCAGTCTCAGCAGAAGCCAAGATTGCTCATACGGAACAATTCAGGTAACCTTAATTTATTTCTTATATACATAAAATGATAAAATTGAGGACATGATAAAATCTTCTCACTGCAGCGGAGAGAACCGTAGGTATAGTTCCCGTAAGTACGAATGTTGTAGAGAATCATAAGTAAAATTCCTTTATTACATCAGCAGTACGAAGTTTTTATCATGTCCAATAGTGGGCACATTTACTGTTTCATGGTCAAATTTCTATGATAGGTAGATAATAGATTTTTGGGTATTTAAATAGATAGCACAGTAGACATAACTTTATATTTTCAATAAAGCTGTTTGTACAAAGTTGGGTTACAAAGTGTGTTGGCAAAATTTAGACCGTTGATTTCAAATGATTTAAAAACCTGTTTTTAAAATGATTGGTGTATATGTTATTTTGTCAACCAACTTTGTAATCCAACTTTTTACATGTAGCATAACTCTTATATTTTTTTCCCTCTTCCATTAACACTATTTAGTACTACACAATCTACGTACAGAATGAGCGAATATATATTAATGGTTGGATTATTTTAGGAAGATATAATTTAATTAACATCCAGCATGTACCCTTTCTCCAATTTGAAGGCAAATTAAGGATTTCCATTATAAAATATTTTTGCATCTAGATATTGTTTAATTTCTCTATTCTAATTTTTTGGGTTAAATTATTTAAACTCTGTTGGGAAGCAACAATGTTGTTATAAAGTTAATGGGAAGGTCATTCAAATTATGATATTCGAATGTTATAAAAAGTTTAGTCTGTCTTCATTGGATTTAATTGATTTTCAGATGAGATGTGATCCGATCATAAAAAGTTATGTCTAAACTAGGGTTATAGGTTCGAGTCACAAGAGTATTATAAGTAATTGTTGGGGAGCAACAATACTGCTCTTAAGCTCATATATTGAATCATTGATGGCGGTCCAATGTCATAAAAGGTTTAGCCCGTTCTCATTGAACACTAATTTAATTATATTCAGATAATTTGGTAGAGATTTCGAATTTGATTTGACTTCTAAGTTCACATTAATAAATGCTTCTGACACACATATTTGAATAATTTTTAGAAATATTAAGGGTGTGTTTGAGCCCATTATTTGAAAGAATAATTTTTCTAATAGAGATTTTTGAAGAATGTATAATTAAAAGGTAAAAAAAAATTAAGTAAAAATTATTTTATTGAAAGAATGCGTAGTTGAAAATGAGTTTGAGGAAAAAAAAAAGTTGTTATATTACAGGGCTTCGGGCTAAAATTATCCAACAAGTATAATATAATGCAAAAAAAAAAAAAATACAAAAATCGATTTTTTTAGTGTTTTAGAAACTTGAAGACACAAGTGTAGAGAGCTGTTCCTTAGCAGACATTATAAAATGGGCATAATACAAGGTAAAGTTGTTTGCCCCTCGGCATGACATGTAAAGTGAACTGCACCAGTTTCTAAATATTATAATCACTGTGCTGGTATTTAATGAGTGATAATTAAGCTGTTTTGATTATTTTTTAATTAAACTATCTTTAATTTGTGAATGGACATTATGACTTGAGGCAGGTGCCTAGACAAAGCAGCTATTCTTGGTGACAATGCAAATCCCACCCCATGGACAGTTTGTACAGTGACACAAGTTGAAGAAGTTAAGGTTCTTACAAGAATGTTGCCAATCATAGCCAGCACAATCCTATTGAACACTTGTATGGCACAGCTCCAAACATTTTCAGTTCAGCAAGGCTCCCTAATGGACCGAAGACTCGGTTTCTTCCAAGTTCCTGCACCTTCAGTTCCTGTCATTCCTCTAGCTTTCATGATCATCCTAATCCCCATTTACGAGATTATTTTCGTGCCCTTTGCACGAAAAATCACCAAGCATCCATCAGGGATCACACAGCTTCAGCGTGTTGGAGTTGGCCTAGTTCTCTCGGCCATTTCCATGTCAGTGGCAGCCCTTGTCGAAGTAAAAAGAAAGAACCAATTCTTGAAAAATCCCACAAAGCCTATTAGCCTCTTTTGGCTATCGTTTCAATACGCCATTTTTGGGATAGCAGATATGTTCACCCTAGTCGGGTTGCTCGAGTTTTTCTACAAGGAAGCACCGGCTGGCATGCGATCGCTCTCTACTTCATTTACATGGATTTCACTTTCATTTGGCTACTTCTTAAGCAGTGTCTTTGTGGATATCATCAATTCTGTCACTAAAAGAATATCCCCAAGCAAAAAGGGATGGTTATACGGACAAGACTTGAACAAGAACAATCTGAATCTTTTCTACTGGTTTTTGGCCATCCTAAGTTACCTCAACTTTGTTAATTATCTTTATTGGGCAACATGGTACAAGTACAAAACTGCAGATTCAACAAATATTTCTAGCATGGAGAAATCACCGTCCATCAGTGGTGTTCCATTGATCAAGGCAGCTGAGATTGAAGTATCTAAGAATACAAATGGAGGGTCCATCGTAGACCACACACAGGAAATCAGTTGGAAGAACAACCTAGTTTTTTAATCTGGCCAAGCCATGTGATGATATTCAGGAAAAGGTAGATTTAACATTAGCATGGATCGAAATATATAATTGCTTGTTCTCATATATTTTTGTGTGTGTTTTTTTTATATATAATATGTTTATGAATTTCATTCTCATTATTGTTCATCACTTGTAATATGGTTGCAATGCTTTTGGGTAAACGATATTTTTCGTTAGTGGTAATTATGCAGTAGATTTTATTGTGGTTTTTTAAATAATTTACTGTATTTTCTTTTTTTCTTTCTTGAAAGAGCGACTATTGTACGAGGGATTAAACTAGTTGTACATCCCTAGTGTACAACAAGTTTGACATTGTGTGATGTATAGAAAATTGTACCATTGTTTTGCATAAGTATGGTTAAAATCAGCAATTAAGCTAGTTTGTCCGAATTGATTTGCCCATCTGGTTGACTTAACCTCACATGAGCGTGGGACCGACGTGAGACCTGCATGAAATAAAAAATGAAAAAAAATGCTTCCCTCCCCCTGATGTGTATGTTCTGTCAGGGAGACACCCTTCCTGGCACTGCAGCTCGGTTCTAAAATCAATGACCAAGATTACTTTCTTGTCAAACAATATCAAAGTAATTGTCAACCACAATGTACCTATAACATAATTGTTGTATGAGAGTGCTTCAAGTCTCAAGAGACTCTTTAAAAATGTAGTAATATTTATTTTAAAGAGTCAAAACTAGAAATTAAGTTCAAAAAAACTCTATATACATTATTTTTTAAATATGGAGAGTCAAACTTTTTAGTCGCTATTTGCATTTTATTATGATTGCATTGAATAAAAATTGCAAGTTTCAAAACTCATTGTTTAAATTATTCATATTAATTGAATGTTTTAGTTATTGACATATGGAAACTTACAGAAAAGAATAAAATCTCACGTTAACAACTTTTTTATTTGAAATATCAAAAACCAAGAAAGAGAATATATCATTTGAAATACTTCTCAAAACTTTTTATTTAATTCAAATAAATTCAACTAATTGTCATAAAGTTTACAAGTAATAAATAAAATCTGAATAATAACTAAACTCCTAGATAAAGATTAATTTTAAACGATAAGAATTAAAGATAACTACTAACTTTAAACTGAATTGAAACTCTAATCAAATTTAAATTAAACGGAATAACGAAAAAATATGTTTTTGGAACCCTAAACGATGAAATTTGGTCAAAACAGGTCGTACGTCATGGACAAAGTGGATGAATTTTGCTCACGTCGTTTTAACTCAAAGTAGACACAAAATTCTCCAAAAACGGACACTTTGAAAACTTATTGTTTGAATCACGATCACCTTTTTGCATGAACTATTCTTATTTTAAAATGTTCTAATTTATAAGGGTTTCCAAGAGAAAAAAGAAATTGATTTCTTTTAGGATTATATAGTTATGGAGTGATTCATGCTTCATGGTTGAGTTTTATTCAGACTATGGAGATTGAGTCATGAATGATTAACTCGTTATTTCTTAGTTTGAGTAGTGCTTAAACCGAAAAAGAAAAAGAAAAAAAGAGATATCCCAATGTTATGAAAATTAACTCTTTTTATTAGTAGAGTTCCTCATGAATATCCTTTGCTAGATTCTTGTAGGTACCTTCGAAGTTTACTCTTCGAATTTATGACTCTATCATCTATCTAATGGATCATTCTCTTGACCTCGACTCGATTGATCACCGCAGTTTGATATTCAACCCTTGAGCTAGCCAAGTATGGTTTGTGTCCCTAGTTAGAATTCAAATTGAGGCCTCTATCTTGGCTAGAGTGTAGATACAATACAAACTTTTAGTTCTATTTGAAGATACATTGTTGTAGTTTAAGCCTCTATTTGGTATAAATTATGATCAAGATTTTAATTCAAGTCAAAAATCAACAATTAGTTCTAATCATACATTCTGTGGGACTCATAACTTTTCAACCACGCTTTTCTTCAACTTCATCAAAATTTACTAAAAATATGATTTTAATCCTTGTTAAACAGGGGCTAAGTTTATTTCACCTAGGTTTTTTTCTTTTTCTTTTTCCACTTCTCAAATTGTTCCAATTTCTATTTCAATTGAGGAGTTGACTCGACGCCATTTAGAGAAAAGCCTAATTCCTAGAGGTGGCAAAATGGTTGAGTACCTCGTCAGGATTCGATCTATGATAGTTCAAGCTCATTTTGAGACGAGCCGAGAGAGGGGCTGGCTCGTCGAGCTTGGCGAGCAACTCGTGGGTCTTGCCCACGAGTCTAAGTCAAAAAAGTGACTAAAGGGTCACTTTTTAACAAAAAATAAAAAGAAAATAAATTGACCTTTTGGTCACTTAAAAAGAAAATAATAAAATTGAACTCGTAGGTCAGACTTGACTCTTGCTTGAATGAGCTTGAGCTCGGCGTACCCGTTCGCGGGCCAAGCCAACTCGACTCATTCCATTGCCATCACTACTAATTCCGTGACAAAAAAAAAATGTATTCAACCTATCGTCATTACATAGGGCAATTGAAAAGGTATGGTAGTGATCTCACACCACGCATTTCGTACTATTTTTATCGAAAGTGTGCACAAACTGGATATAGCGTCCGAGCTAGGTTCAATTTACAGAAAAGGAGCCCTTCTTTTTTCTTTGGAAGCCGTCACAACTTGCCTAAATTTAAGTTTCATTTTATTTTGTTAAAATTCTACTTTTCAATAAATAAATAAATTATTGATAAGAGTCTTTTACCATTTTGTGGGCGTAATTTTTTGACATTCAAGCGTCGGTAAACTTTAGCTTTTGCCATACTTTTATCGAAGATTCTAAAATTGCGGTCGCTAGCCACCCGTGGTAAGGAGAATTGCAGAGTTAGTATCTAACCTATGGACTTAGCAGCAAACGGGGTTTCAATCTATATTTTTCGGCATTCAAGTCCTTAACTTATTATTTATGAGCTATTGCGGTCCCTATTAGATGGATTAAGTCCCAATCGTTGGTTAAATATGCATTTGACACTTCTGAGTCTTGCATGTTTCCATTTTTTTTATCGCAAGGCGGGAATACTAAGTTTTAATAAAAGTAAATAAATAAAGAAGAAGAGAAGAAACAAAAAATTAAAGAAAAGATATTCGGTAAATCCCTCCCCGTCTACCCCACCGCCATCCGTGTCCTTGCCTCGTAATCCCACAGTTTATGGTTAGGCAATTCGCCCAACTCCACCCTTTGTCGTTAAAAAATTAGAGACTAAATAATTCCAACATTCGATGAAAAATTAATCACTTATTTGGTTTCAAGTTACTGGTGAGATAAATAGTTAGTAGATAATAACACTCAACTCTAATATGCAGATGTTATATTTTGCTTGATGTTTGGATTTGAACATTCGCTGCAGTTTCAATAGTTCTTGTTCATGGTTGCAGCAATAATTTGTAATGAATGATATGTTTGAAAATTGATTACAGAGTCGGTTCGACCATAAAACCACCTAGACGGTCGCCTAAGGCCTCGTATATATCAAAGCCCTGAACTTTTAGATTATAATCAAAGAAATAGATGTCTCGAATATAACTTGCACTCAAAGCATCAATTATGAATAACATTTTCTCTTGTTCTTCTTATTTGCAAAAATGATTATTTCATCTTTTCCCTGTCCTTGAATCTCGAATCTATTTTGATATTTCTATTTAATTGGGGAGCTTATCTTTTAGATCTGTATTTTGTGTGTTTAATATCTTACAGTCTTCTGTATTTTGCACACATAATTCAACAAAAAATTCTATTATTCTTGGTTAATTTTGTGCTTGGGAATTCTTTTAATTGTGATTTTGTCAAAATTCTTTTACTTTTTATTTCTTTTCTTTTTTCTAGGCATATCCATGTGAGGAATGTTGGATTTTGTGACCCAAATTAGGTTAGAATTTTTGAGAATATATTTTTCCTTCTTTGCACATATTTGGAAAAATATTATTTCATTTATTTCACGTGTTTTATTGGGAAAATATTGTTTCCTTTATTTCACGTGATTTGTTTTTATTTTCTTTCTATCTTGGGTTTAAATATCTTCCCTATAAATAGTAGACTTTTCATTCAGTTTTAAAGAGCAGAAATTGTTGAAATTGTATTTTCTCCCAATTGGTTGTTTAATAAAATATCGGTTCCTCTGCCGATTTTTCTTTTCTTTACTTTAAATCTTGTTCTTGTTTGGTGAGCGATCAATATTTCATATTGCTCCATTAATCTCTTCCGATTTTTCACAACACGTGGGTTTAAAGGGTTCCAACAAGGAATTAAAATCGAAATTAGCCCATCATTGACTAGATGGACCAATTCTAAGAAAATGATTATATTTATCACTATGATATTGGAACATAGGTGACGTGGAAGTCCATGTAAAATAATGAGATTTGATAGTTCAATTTTTATGAGAGAGGGAAATATGAGGGATAATGAATTATTATATCACAAATATTCTGTGATAATAAACAGCATTACTCCTAAAAAAAATTCACATTGTATGGATTTTTATTTTTATTTTTGTCAATTCATAATAGAATTGGAAATCGAATAAAAAATCATTATCTAGATTCTTGATGCTGTGTTCACCAATTTTTTATGTTTAATTGATTTTTCATTCATCATTGTTTTGAAATTGAATTGCATATAAATTCTCCATAGCTTTTACTGGTTTTGAAGTCGGATAGAATAAAAATGGGCCGATCTTGTGTTTCAAGGATAAAAGTAGTACTGCTTTTTATTGAGAATAAAAATATGTGCACATAATTCTTTACACAATCCTTTACACCCCCTTCACATGGAGGGGGGTCCACACATAATAAAATAATCGTGGGCCCCCTCCATGTGAGAGAATGTAAAAGATTGTGTAATGCATGAGGTGTACATGTAGCATCACCCTTTTATTGATGATTATAGCAAGTAGTTTTTCTTCTTTTAAATGCTATGTTTTGTTACTTTTTTTTTTTTGAGACGTTTTATTTTATTTGAAGACTCATTATTATTAAAAGATTATGTTTTTGTAGTTTTGAACTTTACTTTTTATATTGTCTAATATAATGAGATGATGAAGTTTTTCGTGGAGATTACTCTATTTTTTTTTAACAAAAAAAAATAAAAATTTATTATTATTATTATTGTCTAAGGCTTCCAAGTTGGTTGAGCCTACTCTGATTGATTGCACATGGGAAAGAAGAAAATTGGATAGAAGAATGCAGAGCATATCCAAACCTTTCATTTTGATAGCGGGAGATCCCAAACCTTTAATGATCATCGCAGATGGAGGACAAATGGAAGGATTTCATCCAAATGCTGTTTGTTGACTAGGGGCAAAATAGGGAACTTCATATTTTCAAACTTGAAAAAATTAAATAATTGAAATAAAAAAAGACCAGAAAACAAAAAATGAAATAAAAAATAAAAAGGGACCACAAACCCCACCCCTACCAAAAACCCACCACCACCACCACCACCACCACCGCCGCCAACTCTCCCTCCACCGAATTACAATAAGATACGCCATTTTCCCCCTTCATTTCTATCCTCAAAATTGAAATCAAACCACAACAACCCAACAACCACCATCACCTCCACCACGAACTTTCTACAAAAATAACCGCTGGAAATAAATAGAGCAATGAGATAATCATAATCCAACCATAGATCTTGAATCGAATATTCTGACTCCCGAATTTCTCTTTTAAAAATCCATTTAATTACCAAATAAATTCTGATTTTTCCCTGTTCGAATATTTCACTACAGTCACATATCTTGGACCAGGTCTGCTTTCAGCACAAGACCATTAATTGCTCCCCTTCTCAAATTTTGGCTACTAAAAGGTAGGAGTGAAAGTTGAAGATCCAAAAGACCGGATGAAAATCATATTGCTTTGATTTCTTCGTCTAAGTTGGGCTTGATGTTGTGGGTTGTTGTGGTGGATTTACCGGTGGTGTTTGGTGGTCGCCAGTGGTGGTGGGTCGGTTTTGGTTTTAGTTTGGGACGACTTGTCAACAAAAATTAAAGTCATCTAATTTTCTGTTATACTAAATTCGAATAGACAAGATTAAATAGTAAGTAAATAAATAAATAAAATTATCTATTATCTTATTCAATCCTCATTAGTTGAGCCTACAAAGAAAAAAGTATATTTAATATAGTATAAAAAGTTTATACTACATTTCTCGTGAGAAGGACGGTAAACTCTTCCTCTAAAATGTACCAAGGTAATTATAGTTACACTATCCACTCATACCTTTTAGGCTCCTTTTACTTTTTAGGCATTTTATTACTTTTCTTTTTCTTTTTTAAAGTAGGTAGGTCGGGTTGGACGGGTTTATTCGATTTTCATGAGTTAACCCATAACTTAACCCGACCCGCCTACACAGCCACCCATCCAACACATGTAAAAATAACAAAAAAATATCCAAACTAGTCGGATTGGTTCGGTTTGGACGATTTTGGCTGGTTCGGTCGGGTTTTACCCACCCCTACTAACGACATCCATTTGTCATCCACATGCAATGGTCATTAAAGTTGGGACCCCAATTGCTAAAATGAAGGTTTGAGTATACTCTATAATGTTTTGAAAGGTTGGGATTCCAGGTATAATTATTCCTATATTTTCAACAAAAAGAGTCCCATTATTCTACGTTATAACGAGGGAAATAGTAATTTTTTAAAAAAATGTATGGTTAAAAAAGAATAAAAAACTTTTGGACTTATATGTAATATTATTTTACTAAAAAATGTGTGATTGATAAAAATACAGAGAAAAATGAATTATAATTTAATTGGAGCCAAAGGGGGTTTAACAGATTCTTGGGCGGAATCCGTCACTTGGGGACATGAGTGATAGGTTTGGGGATTTAAATGCCAAAAATATTAGATTGAAGAGCTACTAAGTCATAGATTAGGGACTGATCATGTAATTTTCCGTTGGCACACCAATGCGTTCACTATCCACAATTCCACATGCCAATTAAAAATTCTTTAAAATCCCCGGCAAAACATACCCCCGCCGTCCACTCTCTGGTGCTCTTCCCCACCGCAATCTATGGGGATAAAAAAATTCTAAAACAAAAATAAATTCTGTCCAAATCCCAGAAAAACCATATTCAGAAAATCCTACAACATTTTAGCTCCTGTTTTTAAGACAATCTTAATTCTTAATAAATCAAATCCATAGTAAATGTCCAAGAACAGTACTTCTATTCTTCATTTTTCAGAAGAAACATATAAATCCTGCATATAATATTAATCTTTTCAAGATTCGTTGGAAAAGTGAAAGGCCATGGAGAAGCTGAAGGAATCGTGGCGTGTAATTGTAATTGGGTTTGTGCTGAGCATGTGGGGTGTCAATGGTCATGAATTTGATGAATTTTTTAGCAATAAAAGTGAAGTGTCATTCGTGGAGTCCATCTATGGAGCTTCAGCTGCATCTGTTCCTCCAAATGCTCTTATAGTGGGTCTCACTCTTGTTCAAGGAGCTGCTGCCAAAGGCGCTGGTAATTTTTCTCTTCTTCAGATTGTTTTTCAGTACATTTTTGCTTGATTTATTCCTGCCATTGCATTTATGTTTTTTTGCAGAAATTATGTGTCTTTTTTTGGGTTTATACTTATGTTTTATGCTTCTGGGATGTTTATATCTTGCATTGGATAGATCTTGTAATTTTAATAGTTTCTTGTTACTTTATCTTCTTGTTGATGGCTACATTTCCATGTTGAAAATGACTATGTTTAGTTTTTTGGAGTAATTATCTCAATATTCACGTATTTAACTTCGCAGTGACTTGATTTTTTGTATTGCATTTATGTAACTTAACATTTGTGCATCACTACATCATCACAGATATACTCGTATTAAATTTAGACAACCAAAATTTCTGGTGGGCTATAAACCGAGGCAAAAGTTATGCTTGACAGAATAATACTCTGTTAACTTTCAGTGTTAAACTTCCTATAGAGATTGAAGGAAAACTTAACTTTGAACTTGAGTAACTCTTAGCCTGATATCTGTCTCTCTTTGTGCTTAACTTTGGCAGTGTGTTTGGACGGAACATTACCTGGCTATCACTTGCATCCTGGGTACGGGGAAGGAGCAAACAGTTGGCTCATTCAATTGGAGGTTTGTCTGACAACTCTCCGATTGTAGAATGTGTTCATACTTAGCTTTGCATTTTGTAAATATTTTGTTATTCTTTTACTTTGTTAGTTTCGTGTAGAAGCTCAATGTGTGTACTTAGATTAAAGCTATTGAAAGAGGATCTAATGATTGATGACTTGGAAATGTAATTTTATAGGTAGTAAATGTTCGTGTATATAAATTGTTTTCAAACTTTTAGATATTTGCATATTAACTGATGTTTGCCCATAGCTGTCTTCAGGCACATATATTTTAAGTTATATTTATGTTTCATTCACACAAGAAACTTACATTGTGAAACTTGTGGCAGGGTGGAGGGTGGTGTAACAACATCAAAAATTGTGTTTACCGAAAAGGAACACATCGTGGGTCGTCTACCCTTTTTGAAAAGAAGATTCCATTCACTGGAATACTAAGCAACAAGGCTGAAGAAAATCCAGGTTCATTACGAGATAGTTTAGCATATTTTGTTTCTAACATTGATTATTCTTTCTTCTGTTTCAGTTTCCATTTGCAGCAATTTATTTATTTTGATCTCCATATGCAGATTTTTTTAACTGGAATAGAGTGAAGATACGGTATTGTGATGGGGCCTCCTTCGCTGGAGACAGTGAAGATAAGGTTTATAGCGTGCTGTTCCATTTTGTTCTTCAGTTTTGTCTGTCTTATTGAGTTTTGTTTAAATACATGACCATCGAGTAGTGATTTTTTATATGTTTATTGTGTAGGCTACAGGACTGCAGTTCAGAGGACAACGTATATGGCTAGCAGCAATTGAAGACCTAATGTCAAAAGGAATGCACAATGCAGACCATGTAATATCTCACTATTCATTTGGTGTTGTTCTCTTTCTTTTCTTTTTCTTCCCTTTTTCCCGCTGCTGCTAATTCCCTTTTAATACAACGAGTGCTGTTTCAGGCCCTTCTTTCTGGTTGCTCTGCTGGTGGTCTAGCCTCAATATTACATTGTGATGAGTTCCGAAGTTTCTTTCCTGAAAGCACCAAAGTGAAGTGTCTGAGTGATGCTGGATTATTTATTGACGCGTAATTCTCAAATCTTTAATTCCTTAGTCGTCTCCCATTCAGCTTTGACATTCTCGTGACTCTGAAACATTAATAACCATTTTGGATTTGCAGTGTTGACGTATCAGGTGGACGTACACTTCGAGATCTTTTTGGCGGTGTAGTTAGCTTGCAGGGTGTTAAAAAAAACCTGCCAAGCACTTGTACCGACCACCTAGATCCAACTTCGGTAAAGTCTTCCTCTTTTTGTATTTTCATCTCCCATTGATTCACACTGATCATATAAAATTTTATCATTTACTCTTCACTGCTTTTTTCCTTCTCAGTGCTTCTTTCCTCAGAATTTAATTGCCAACATTAAAACCCCGATGTTCATCCTCAATGCTGCCTATGATTCTTGGCAGGTAATTTTGATTTCATTTTATTGCTACACTTACATGAAAATGCATCAAGGTTAAATTTTTATTACTTTCTTGTTTTCGTGGTCAAATAATACGAAAGATAAACATAACAAACCCAGTTCTCGATTTGCCTTATTTATTCAGTTACAGGAGAGCTTGGCTTCTCCTGCAGCTGATCCTCAGGGTACTTGGCATGACTGCAAATTGAACCATGCACGATGTTCAACATCACAGATCCAATTTCTGCAAGGTGAATTCTATTCATTCGATTAGCTTGTTTTCATATGTTTTGGATCGTGTCCCAGAATTTAATCATTCGAATTTTCCGTGGAGCAGGTTTTAGAAATGATATGCTGAATGCAGTAAAAGGCTTTGCAACATCTCGACAAAATGGTTTATTCTTAAATTCATGTTTTGCACATTGCCAGTCAGAGAGACAAGATACATGGTTCGCAGACGATTCCCCAGTTATAAGTAACAAGGTATAGTAATCGTAGAATATAATGTGCATTCATTGGTATTTTTGCCGTATTTAGTGGAAATCTCTCTACTCGAACAGACTATCATCGCTCTCTCATTCTCCCTCGTTTTCATGTTAATTGGTTCGTGTATTTCTATACAAAACTAATATTTTGAATGGTACTGCATACGCAGGCCGTGGCTATTGCTGTTGGGGATTGGTACTTCGATCGAGCAAATATCAAGGCCATAGATTGTCCATATCCATGTGACAAAACTTGTCACAACCTGGTTTTTAAGTAACTAAGATTTCTATTTGACCTTGTAATATTAGTTTTATTCTATGATAATTTATTATGACGTACAAACAATTCGAAGAGTACATTTGAAGGCAAATAATGTGAAATCCTACTTGAATTCTTATGTATTTGCTGTGAAAATTATTCTAAAGAAATTTTCAATCATCATCTCGAACCTTTTCATAAATAGGGGTGCGCATAGCTTACTTTTCAAGGGGCCAATTGATTTCTTTCGTGAATAAAAAGAAAATGAATAAAATTCAAGAAAATAAAATATTTTTCATCTTCCGCGTCGCCTACTCCACACCAAACCGAATTGACCCCCAAATCGTCTTAGCGCATCTCCTACAACAATCTCAGCCATCATTGCTGCCTATTGTAGGTAGGGATCTGATAAGAATAATTCATGAATTCAATCCAATAAAAATAATTCATATATCTGATTCAATAATTCAACGAATATTTGATTACTAAATCCATATTCGATTTACTATATTATTGGATATCATATCTGATAAGTTGATTTGAAATTGAAGAAATTAAGAAGATATTGAAATTTACTTATTATTTAGGCCTATATTTTAAACCAATAAGGCCCAAATAATGAAAAATTCAAGTAAGAGGAAATTACATAAAATCACGCATTTAAGTTTTCAAATTAAAAAATTAGATCCAAAGTTTATTTAATAAAAAATCAAGTATTAATTAAATTAATAATTAAAACCTAATTTTTTTCCAATCTCCCTGTCTTTCACTGTAAATCGACTCCTCCTCCCTTCTCACTAATTGACCTTCTCTCTCAGTAGTAGCGCCACCCCCTGGAAGAGAATCTCCGGCGAAGCGGCATCACCACCGGAAGAAAATCTCCGGCGCAGTGGCATCACAATACGGTGCTTAGAGCGCCGCCCCAACTCGAATTTAAGTCGACTACGGCAGGATGAAGGAGATTGCTGGTGAATTGATCCCAAAATCGCGATGTTGGTGGTTAAGAACGGCGAAGCTGCTGAGTAATACGGGTTTGTGTTTCCGATTTGCCTTCTCTCTCTTCGACACAGTCGTGTTTTGGTTATTATGGTGGCGCAGGCGTCGGGTTTTTGTTGTTGTGGTAGTGTTGCGACGGCGACAGTGGTTTTGTTGGTGGTGCGGGCGGCGATGGTGGTGGTTCTGCTGCGAATGCAGCGTCGCGTTGCTGCAGTGGTGGTTCTGCTGCAAATTTTTGTTGGAGATGGTTGTATTGGTGTTGTGGCGGTGGTTGGGGTGGTTTTGTGGCGGTTGCCGTTGGATGGGTGTGCATGTGTGCATGCGGCGGTGGTTGTGGTTGGGGGTGTGCGGTGCAATGTGCGGTGTCGTGATGATGGTCGTGAGTGGGATGAGATAGACGTGGGTGTCTGTGACCAATTATTTGGTTGATTATGACCAATAATTAGTTAATTTTTGACAAATTAATAATATATGACCTAAAAATTGTGACTGTGAGTCACAATTTATTAAGTTATAATCGAGTTGTGACCAATAAAAATAATATGTGACATATAATTTGATGTTTTGTGATCATAAAATAAGTTGTATGACTTATAAATTTTGTGATTTGTGACCGATGAACAAATTGTGAATTTTAAATTTTTAATTTGTGACCTATAAATTTTTTGAATTGTGACCTTAAAATTTTTGAATTGTGACCAAATTACGTAGATCTGTAACCTTTATATATTTATTAATTAAATTATAAATAAATTTTAATATAGACATGATTTTTGAAATTTAAAACCTCTATCCTTAATTTTGAAATGATGATACTTAAATACCTTATTTATGTATTGTTCCCTTCAAGTAATGGCTTGTCTCCTATTTATAACTTACCCATTGAGCTTCTTTTTTTTTATGGAAACCGACGTGGGGTGGCATATAATTTTTTGAAAAACAAAAGGAAACCTGTATAGGTGGATAAACTTTTTTTTTTTAATGTTTTAAATTTTATAAATTTTTTATTCTATTTTTTTTTTTTTTTTGTCATTTACTTATTTTAGTGACAAATAACTTACCGTAAAAATATTTGACCGACTCAACTATTTATAATAAATAGAACCGAGTTGACCTATATCCATATTTGTTCCATTTAGTTAACGGATTATCGGATTTGTGTCTTGATGGGGTTATCGAATTGAGACCGTAAATCCATCTCCTATTAATTTCATCGAATTCGAATCAAAACCCACCCATTGACAGTTCTAATTGTAGGATTGGGAAATGGGGTGGATGGCTAGGGGCAATTACCATTTTTCAAACTGTAAAACCATAAAATCATCGCACGCATCAACTACCACCACACTCCTATTGCTTAAGAGACCTAGACTTCTATTTTATTTTTATTTTTTGGATAGTTATATTACCACTATATTTGTAAGTTACACGACAATTTTAAATGTTTTAACTATATTTACACCAAATTTTTTATTATCAGTACAAAATTTTAATTACAACGAAGGTCCTTTAATTTTGCTCATTTTTGCACTTGAATTTTCAATTTTTTTAGCCACATGCATTTATATTAATTATTCATGGTTGTTGCTAATGTAATCTTTTGCTTATTCTTGATGATACAGATTGCTGTTGCAGCTCTTATTGGGGCCAAATTTGTGTGACGGGGGATGTGACGCAGCTACCAAAGTGGTTTGCCATAGTGGTGGTGATATGCATCTGCATCTACGTTGCTGCTTTCGCGTGGTCTTGGGGGCCTTTGGGATGGCTCTACCCAAGTGAGATTTTCTCATTGGAGATTAGGTCAGCTGGTCAGAGTGTTAACGTAGCAGTTAACATGTTATTCACATTCATAGTGGCTCAGGTGTTCCTTGCGATGCTATCACAATGAAGTTTGGTCTTTTCATCTTCTTTGCGTTCTTTGTGGTGTTGATGACCAACTTTTGCTACTTCTTCATGCCTGAGACGAAGAACATTCCCATTGAAGAAATGACACAAATCTGGAGAGACCATTGGTTCTGGAAAAGATTTATGGACGATCCTAATGATCCTATCAACGCAGCAATCAAGATGACTAAGATGGAACAGGTCTAATTTTGTGAATTCATTTTTTTTTTCTATTTTCCTTTTTCAGTTCTTCCTTAATCTTGGTGTTATACATCTTATCAACACTGTAAATTTTCATATAGTTTTTACTATTAGTAATTACACAAATTTTTTTATCTTGGATTCTGCTTTGAAGTTTTGCTGGTATTTACTGATTGAAATTGTAATATCGTGCTTTGTTTCAAGTACCCTTTATGTTTTCTTGTTATGCTGTTTTGAACTGGTTATGCTTGTTGTACTTTTGTACATTTTAAGGTTTTTTAGAATGTGTAAAGTGCCATCAATTCAGGTTTCCTTGTTTCTCAGAACTGACATTCCTTTCTTTCTACTGAGATGAACGCTCTCAATTTGTTTGTACTATGAAAATCATTAGTGCTAGTAGCTACTTGTAATGTTCGGATCTTGGGTAGAGATAGGTAATATTTTAGGTATATGGACATCTCAAATAGTGAAAGAATTGTTGTATGTCAACATAGATAGATCGTACTAGCCATAGTCAGTATTGAGGATTCTATTCAAGAAAATAAACTGGATTGATCCAACTCGATAATATCCAGAAACACTCCGGCTTTTAAATGATATACCTGCAGTCTAATGGAGTCATCGCCTAGATTTTGAGGACCATGTCTCAAATATTGGAGCATCGTCTATAATAGGGAAAAGGTTTTAATGAAGTATCAGAGAATTGCCGCACATAGAAAATTGTTGTATGTCCACTTAAATCTGTTTGTTGTGCAGAAAATTTTGTCTTACGAGGGTGAACAAGAAGGTTGCATGATAAGAGTCAAGTCACCTAATTCTCTGAACCGGAAACAGCACAAAAATGTAACTTCATGATTGTCCATTCTAGGGACGAGGAGGACTACCCAACAGACTGAATTTCCTCTCCTATTTCTTTAAACTATTCAGTATTCACCTTCTACTCCACACTAATTCTCGTCAATCATCCGTGACCTCATTCAAGAATTGTTGTTTTTAGCCTTTGAATCCTATTGTAACGGGTTTACGAACTCCCCATATACCATTTTTCGCCATACCAGATTCCTGAACCCCTATTTTTTTTCCTTCGATTTCCATATCAGCAATCCTCGCCTAAGAACATCAAGAAGAGAGCGAAAGTACATTCAATTTCAAGGCCTACATGCTTGCAAAGGCTAGTGCTGTGAACAAGGCCTTGGAAGCAGCAGTATCGCTGAGGGAACCTTTCAAGATTCATGAATCCATGAGCTACTCTCTTCTTGCTGGTGGCAAAAGGGAGGCTTTCAAGATTTATTATGAAAATCAAACATTGCATTTTTTAACATGTTGACAACTGGGTAGCATTCATGTCAGAGCCGGCTCGAGCACGATGTCACGACCCGCTCGTTTCATAACAAAGATGGTGGAATTATCTAGAACAAGGGTGTCTTGAGACTAATCCGGAAGGTTCTAGATAAGGATGGAACATGAAACCACCTAGAAGATCATGGATGATTCTAGATAATTAGCAAGTCTAACACTTGTAGATTATTCTAGAGACTCCTAGTTAATTCTTTGTAAATATCTTAGTATGGATAATTGTAGAGAATTCTAGAGAGGAAATATAGACCGTTGGATCAAATTGATCCTAGCCATCCATTATGAATGGCTTTACCTATAANGCATATGAGTTAGCTTTCCAACGCATTTTGAATCGCCTCAATCGGATATCGGAATACAAAGTTATGATAAAAATACTGAAAGAAGGTGCAACTGCCTGTTTAAAACAAGAAATTCCGTTAGTTTTTCCGTTAAACCAAGAAATTCCGTTAGTTTTTCCGTTAAACCAACAAATTCCATTAGATAGGCACTTTTTATATAGAAAGATTCATGGTCGTTGCTAATGTAATCTTTTGCTTATTCTTGATGATACAGATTACTGTTGCAGCTCTTATTGGCGACAAATTTGGTGTGACGGGGGATGTGACGCAGCTACCAAAGTGGTTTGCCATAGTGGTGGTGATATGCATCTGCATCTACGTTGCTGGTTTCGTGTGGTCTTAGGGGCCTTTGGGATGGCTCTACCCAAGTGAGATTTTCTCATTAGGTCAGCTGGTTAGAGTGTTAACGTAGCAGTTAACATGTTATTCACATTCATAGTGGCTCAGGTGTTCCTTGCGATGCTGTGCACGATAAAGTTTGGTCTTTTCATCTTCTTTGCATTCTTTGTGGTGTTGATGACCATTCTTTGCTACTTCTTCATGCCTGAGACGAAGAACATTCCTATTGAAGAAATGACACAAATCTGGAGAGACCATTGGTTCTGGAAAAGATTTATAGACGATCCTAATGATCCTATCAACGCAGCAATCAAGATGACTAAGATGGAACAAGTCTAATTTTGTTAATTCATTCTTTTTTCTACTTTCCTTTTTCAGTTTTTCCTTAATCTTGGTGTTATACATCTTGTAAGGAAATTAATTCTTGAAGAAGTAGAATTGGACAACCTTAGCAAATCAGAAAATCTGTTGCAAGTTGGAGCCTTCAGTTACCGGTTTCCAACCGAGTTAGTTGGAATCTTTCAACCAACTGGAGACTTAATTGTTAGTTGGTAGTTAATAGCTGAGATGACTCTTATATTGTGTCTATAAATAGTCTGGTTAGATGACAAAAAAGTATGGCTCTCGAGAGTGAAGAAGGAGAAGAGAAAGTGATATAGGTTAGATGGATGAACTCTTGTAAATCTGGTATTAAGCTTTCTGGTGATTTCTGGTTTTGTAAATCATGTTAATCTTTGATTAATAAAGGCTGAGGAAGAGGTTTTCTTCCTATTTAAAATCCATTCTCAGTGTTTAATTCTTGTTGTTAATCAAGCTTGTTGGTTCAATACCGATTTTTACTGCATTTGTGCAAATACGATGAGACATAGCAAATCCGATTAGCCAATGTCAAATTCGGTAAGCTAAAAATTGAACATTTTCTTTTTCTCCTGCTGGTGCATATGTGATTACTAGAATTCCTGATTAATTCCAAAGTTAAGGTAGCTTTCAAAAACCCAACAATTGGTATCAGAGCTTGAAAATTCCTTGGCCTGATTTCTGTCCTTTTAAATTGGCCAAACACATCTCTTGTGAAAGAAAGATTCCTGGCCAGAATCTTGATCACAATATGTCAACATCCAAGTATGAAGTGGAGAAATTCAATGGCAAGAATGATTTCAACTTATGGAGGGAGAAGATGATGGTATATCTTGGTAACCTTGGATTGGAAGAAGCCTTGAAAGAAAAATATGGAATTGAGGCTTCAAACCAGGCTGACGTCTTGAAGAAGACAAGAAATACCATCATTCTTAGCCTCTCTGATACAGTTCTGATGCTACCAAAAATCGTACCTGTCGACTTCCGAGCTTGACGATTGAGAATGAGCACGAACGAAGTCTTCCGTTACCTGAAACGAAGGCATCGAGGTGTGTCATCGTCGCCCCTCCGATACTTAAGTCAGAGAGGGTATGAAAATAAAATATGCTGTAATATGTAAAAAGGTGTACCTTGATATTGAATGAGAATGGCATATTTATAGAGGTGGGTGGTGGACTCCTAGTAGGACTGTGATGCTGAGACACCTAGGAGTTCTAGTGTAGTTGGAAGTTGTAATGTAGTAGGTTTCGCTCTACCCACGTGTTTGAATGGACATGTGACTCTGGAGTTAGATTCCACTTACATTATGTAATACATTTCCATAAGGACTTTGCTTTTAGGGATGTCTTAATACGGAGTGAGCGTCTAGCGAGTTAGGGGTCCTAGGATCTGAGGTGTATGTAGTGAGCTCAAGAAGGGTCGTTCGATCAGTCTTCCCTGAGCACGAGGAACATAGCCGAGGAGATGGCGAGATTTCGGCAGGGTTGAGCCATGTACTCCTCGGGAAGTGTGCTCGATTTTAATTGTCGAGGAACGGTATCATCACTGGCCCCCGTGCGTTCATGCCGGAGATCGATGCTCGAGATCTTGGGATGTGATGCACAGTCCTTGAAGTAGAATGTCCAATTTCTATAGTGGAAATCACAGGCGTCGGGTAGGAGGTGGTCGACCTTCATAGTGGATCGAACAGCCCAATAGATGGTGCTGCCCAACCACTAGAATGGGCTTGAAAGCTCATGAAATGAGGCTGCTCGTCCTTGGCTATGGACTGGACAGTCATGTAAGGTCCTCGTTTTTGAGGCTGGGGCAGATAGCTGGCATGTTAGGATGCGCCACGTGGCCTCGATTTTCGAGCCTATAGTCACACTGGGTAGATGAATGACACGTGGCGAGGGATGGAGGGCCAAGATTGAGAGACCTTTGGGCTTCTCAGGATCCTATAAATACCTCCATACCCCACCTCATTTGGCACCTTTCACTCTTCAAATACTCCTCGGACCACCTCGGCTTTTAGGCTTAAGGTAAGACCTCGTGACCTTTAGTTTGTATATATATTTAAATGTCTAGTGAAAGTAGTTCGTCGGGCTCGGGCTCATCGCCTGAAGGTCATTCTGTGATCCCCTATGCAATCCCTGTATGCAGCCATCTTGCACTTTCCTTTCTCGACCTTAGATGTAGGTATAAGGAGCACGAGGTTGTTGGGATAGCTCGGGAATTTGGTCTAATGCCTGTTTGTGACGTGCGAGCCCCTGGGCCCGAGGATAGAGTGAACACCGCTCAGGAGGGGGAGATAGTTGTTTTTCGAGAGGCCTTAAAGGGAGGGCTTAGGTGGCCTCTTCATCCATTCTTCCTCGAGTTCCTTGTCGAGTTCGGTATGTGTCCCGGGCAGGTGGTTCCCAATGGGTGGAGGCTGCTTATTTATTTCTTCGTAGCTTGTAGGTATTTAGGTATAGACCCGAGGTTAGACCTGTTCAGGATGGTATTCGAACTGAAAACCCTCCCGGGCTTCAACTTCTTCGTATATTTATCTTCTCGGGGTGAGTTTAAAGTCCCAAGGTACCCGAGCTCTCTCAAAGGGTGGAAATCGAAGTACTTTTACATTCGCCCTCAAGACCCCGACCACCCATTCAGTCCTCGGTGGACTATCCCGAATACCGAGTACTTTAATGAGGGTCAAGCCTATTTTGAGGTGTTAGAGAGGGATAGGCAGTGCCTGGTCGGGCTCGAGCCTTTAGCATTCAAGTTAGATGACTTGGTCAGGGACGATATCATCGACCTCGCTAACGTGAAAGGTGTTCAGGGTAGGGCAGCTATTATTCATGATCTTATCCTTGGTTTGTACAGTTCCTCGATCTAATGACATTGATTTTATGGCAGCTGTTGAGATGGCGTTTGACCCTTCTGATCTACGCCGAGCGGTACATCAAAAACCGAAGGGAGCCCCGAACAAACATACTGGAAAGAAGAACAAGAAGCGTCCTCGAGAGATCACGCCCGAACAATTGAAAAGCGGCCCCGGTGGACCATCCGGGGTCGATGCTGAAGACCGAGCTACTCGGCCCGAGGTTAACACCCAACCACAACCCGGCGTCACTGCTCGTCAAGGGGTGCCAATGGTCATCGACCTCGACGACGAGGCTCCTCAGTGCCCATCTTCGGTTAGGGAGGATGGGAAATGCGCCCTTGTTCCTGAGCTCCTAGAGAAGTACCGAGGAAAGGAGCACAGCATGGCAGAGGGCTTGAAGGCGATCGAGGCTTTGACGTTGAAGGTACGTCGGGATTTGTACTTGTATCTTGTACGTGACCTTTCAACCTCAACTCTAACATTGATTTACGTCGCTCTGTGCGCAGGCCTTGACCGTTTCCCGAGCACTGGCTTCGAGGGGAAAGGAAGATGCCCAAAAGGTTAAATTGCTCGAGGACGAGCTCGATCGGCGGGTTCAACAAATATTGGAACTCGAGGCTGAAAGTGCCCGTCGATCGAAGGAGAATGCCGAGCTCAAAGCGGCGCTGAGGCAAGCTCGGGATGAAATCGAGGTGTCAAGGGACGAGGTTAAGGAAGCCAAACTCGAGCTTGAGCGAAAAACCAAAGAACTCGAAGCTGGGCTCGAGGAGTCTAAGGCGAAGGCAATTGAAGAGTTTAAGAGGTCCGAGGAGTTCGGGGCGATGAAGGGTGAATATGCCCTGAGGTCGTACAATTATGCCTTCAAGCAGGCTCGGGCCTACATCCGCGCGAGACTACCCGAGCTTGACGACTGAGAATGAGCACGAACGAAGTCTTCCGTTACCTGAAACGAAGGCGTCGAGGTGCGTCCTCGTCGCCCCTCCGATGCTTAAGTCAGAGAGGGTATGAAAATAAAATATGCTGTAATATGTAAAAAGGTGTACCTTGATATTGAATGAGAATGGCATATTTATAGAGGTGGGTGGTGGACTCCTAGTAGGACTGCCATGCTGAGATACCTAGGAGTTCTAGTGTAGTTGGAAGTTGTAATGTAGTAGGTTTCGCTCTACCCACTTGTTTGAATGGACATGTGACTCTGGAGTTAGATTCCACTTACAATTATGTAATACATTTCCATAAGGACTTTGCTTTCAGGGATGTCTTAATACGGAGTGAGCGTCTAGCGAGTTAAGGGTCCCAGGATCTAAGGTGTATGTAGTGAGCTCAAGAAGGGTCGCTCGATCAGTCTTTCCCGAGCACGAGGAACATAGCCGAGGAGATGGCGAGATTTCGGCAGGGCTGAGCCATGTACTCCTCGGGAAGTGTGCTCGATTTTAATTGTCGAGGAACGGTATCATCAAGTTCTAAGGAAGGTAATCAAGGAGAAGACGACCTCTAAAATGTGGAACAAATTGGAAGAGCTCTACTTGACCACAGCTTTGCCAAACCGGATCTACTTGAAGCACAAGTTCTACAACTTCAAGATGGATGAATCAAAGTCAATTGATGAGAACATTGATGAGTTTACAAAGGTGGTCTCTGACCTGGAGAATCTGGAAATCAAGATAGATAAAGAAGATCAAGCCATTTTCTTGTTAAATTCTCTGCCACCAGCCTTTGATCATTTAAGGGATACCATCAAATATAGCAAGGAATCCTTGACCCTTAAAGAAGTTGCTGCAACAGCCTACTCGAAGGAACTGGATCTGAAGCTGAATGGTAATCTTGCAAAGAGGAATGGAGAAGTACTGTATGTGCAAGGAAGAAAGGAAAGGAAAATATGCTGGATTTGTCATCAAGAAGGGCACCTCAAGAAGAGTTGTCCACAAAGAAACAAGAGGTGGATGAAACAAGAAAACAAAAAGCAAGAAGGAAAGTGTGCAAATGCCTTTACAGACTATGAAATTGTCGAAGTTCTTGCTGTAACAAGTGCAAGACACAGCAATATCTGGATTATGGATACAGGTTGCTCATTTCATATGACACCAAGGAAGGAATTTTTCATTGAATACAAACCGATGTTTGAAGGTAAAGTGCT